GGGTAGTATAACGGTTGTATTTTGTAAAATTAAGGCTATAACCTCTGAGTATATCATGTGCAATATAATTCTGATTTCGAAGTGTCTAGAAGATTAACAGAGGGATAAAAGCTATATTTGGTACTGAAGCTGATTTTCCGTAGAAATATTTAAATGAATCTGAATTAAAATTAAGATTTCAGATAAAATATTAATGAATATTTGAATTTTTCTCCCAACGATTGAATTTAACAAAAGTAATACTCTTTTTATTGTACTAATAGCCTTGAATCAATAGATAATAATAATGCAAGCACAGTAAATACCAAAATTTCAAAATAGCTAATATAAACGATTAATATAATTTTTTTAAATAGTATGCTAACTATTCTTATTATATTACTTTAACTTTAAACACACTGCTTTGGTTCGCAAACGCTCTGCTTAAGGATGCCATCTTGCTTTCTTTGCCTCCATTAGCACCATTCTTTTTTATTTCTCTTTTTGTAATATAATCACGAATCAGTAAGTTTGGATCTCTTTCGGATATTTTTAATTATACTTCATATATATGTATGACCATTAACTTGGCACAATTTCCATGAGTTTACTTATTTAGGCCTAGCTGCAATTTTTCCTCTCACTGTGACTCATTTTAGCATCAACAGGACTGGATTTCATCACTATGGTGAGAATTAGTTAATTTAATTACATAAATTCTGCTGTCTTTGACTTTCAGCGCTCTAGTATTTTGTATTTATTAGGCTTCTAAGTTTAGCCTATTTTTCTTTAAACAGCACTCAAATTCTGCTTTGTCGATGGCACCTAACAATGCGTTTTTGTTTCCTGGATCTCTCTCCGATCAATGGGCCGCCCAGCACAGCCTAGTAGCGTCCCAAAACATCATACAGAATGATTCCTCTCATATTTCTTTTGACACCCCTCAACTAAATCTATACACCACCTCCCCGCCGTCCCATTCCGGTCCCCCGATTCAGCCAAATAGAATCCTCCCCGTCAATGGTGCCCGCGTCCATCCAGGTCTCACTCAGTTAGGCCAACCTGTGTTTTCCAATCCTGCTGCCGGATATAGCACACCTTACATCGCAATTCCTCATCAACAACAGCAACAGCAGGCAGCTCATCATCAACTCAGCACTCATTTCGCGTACGGTCTTTCTAGGATGGCAAACGGTGTCTCCCCTGGATCCATCTCCATTACTGCACCTCTTCAACAAATAGACAGCACTATATATCAATCTGGACCGCAAATGCACACAAGTAACTATATTCCCATGCGATTGCCTCATACTAATACACTTACACCTGCAAGTTATCCGACGTATGATTCGTTAAAGCATTTCGGGGCTCTTCCAAATGCTCCCGTAAGCGCTTCCGCAAAGCCTATTTCAAATGTATGGTTTATTTTATTCCTCATTGCCGCTTTTCGCTTTTAGAATCATCGAAATCACAGACAGAATACTTCAAAAACTAATCTTTATATAAGTGGGCTTTCAGAAAATGATACGGCTGACAGTCTCAAAGCCCTGGTAGGAAAAATTCCCGTTAAATCATGCATGGTAATGCAAAATATGGACGGGAAGTGTAGAGGTCAGCTTATTTTTTGTTTATACTACTACTTAGGCTCTGGCTTCATTGATTGTGCGACAGAACAAGATGCTGAGCTAGCAAAAAAAGCTATTTTAAAATTTGCATTGGGAACCGGCCGAAATATTGTCCCTAAAATGGCCTTCGAAAGCAAAAAAGACCCCCTCAACCTTTATGTCAGGAATCTTCCACAAATTGATTTTACCAATGAAGAATTAGAAGAGCTTTTCAAGGAGTTTGGCAACGTTACTTCTGTTAAATTACAGGATAAGATGGGCAAACGAACGGGTGAGACTTTCAATTTCATATTGATTCCTATTGACCCTTATTTGCCGAAAATTTGTTCTTTTCTTGCTATCTTTCCATCTCTGAACTGAAAAGGCTAAGTATTTTAAAATTTATTTTTTGATAGGCGTAGGGTTCGTCCGGTTTGCTTCTTCAGATCATGCCGCTACGGCTATAAGCGAAATAAACAAGCGTGAAATAAAACTTAAGGGTAACCTTTTGCCAGTCACATGCAAGCAAGCGGATTTGACTGATCCTCGAAAGAAGGCTGCTGTGGCTGCTGTGGCTGTTGCTGCGGCAGGTGCCTCTGGTACTGCATTTATCGGCAATGGTCATAACAATATACACCAGCCTACTAATTTAGCAAGTCAGACCACTCAACCTCATATGCACTCACATCTCTCAGGTAAGTATTCTTTCGTCTGTCTTTGTCCTATGTACTCACATTTGTTTAGCAAAAATTTTAGTAAATGTTACTGAACTAAAGTTATTAATTGATATATGATTATATTTGATCAATAGCTGGTACTGCTATCTCGAGATTACTTCATGCAAGCATTTTATTGTTCGATGCGAGTGATTCATCCATTCTGTATTTTAACTATTTTGACTTTCATTACCATGCATTCGTTATTTTAGAATCGCACTACTTTCTCAGGTTTCTGCTCTAGGACATTTGTTGCATTCGTATTAATAATTTATTAACTTTTCCTTTAGAGAGACTTCCGGTCTTTAATTATGGGTCATTCTACTTGGATATACCGGATTTCATCTTCGTTTATATTCTTAATTATATTACTACAATAATATACGTAGACAATTATATCGCTCTAAAAATGTGGTGCGAACAGTTTGGTTTACTATAAAAGACATCTTTATTACTGCTGGCATTCTTGTTTGTAAGATCGATCATCAACGTGCCGAGCGATTCTCACTACCCCGTTCCGAATATCGGGGCGTTAATGAGGACTAGGCGGGGTCGGATTTGTGATTACTTTGGCGAGACTATCTATTAGAGGGCCAGGCTATTCGTAAGTAAATGGCGTCGATGCATAATGATGATTTGGGGGAAATTCACTATCAAACAGTTTATGCTGTCTATACTAATTACAGTTCTTAATTTTATTTAGACGATTTGCTGGTCTCGAAAGTAATAACATTAAATGTACAAGTTCACAAGTGAATTATATATTTTCACTTGGAGTAAATTTAGCTAATCAGAAACATACTAACCAAAATTTTTGTCTATTCTGATCATTAGTCTCCAGCCAATCTCTTCAGGCGTCAGTGTATGACATCCCATGTCGTTTAAAAGCCTATTCTGACTTAGGCTCAATCTTAAAATTCATCGGCTTTACGCTTTATCTTTTTTAAGATTGCTGTC